AATTCCATACCTTCTTTATCACTAGGCTCGAAGACGAAATATCAAAATATGAGTTACGTTCTTACGAAATTGATACATGATACAATGCGACAATCCAATCGCTAGAATTAGTGCGCGATGACGATGAGATCGTCGAACAGAAAAGTTTTCCGAATGTTAGTACGAGGTGTCATAAGGCGACGAGCACGAAGCGGGACACCACGACGACCGTAAACTTTTACATTCGCATGCAAATTCCCTTTGAAATGACTCTTAAAGCGAATATATGCATATAAAACCGCTACCGCATACACTTCGACTAGAAGCAATTCGCTCAAACGTTAGAAACTGGTTAGTCCGTAGGAATGGAATAAATTGCGCCATAAATGCAAATCCCACCTGCAGGCCGAAAGAAAGATTGATTTATCAACAACTGTTTCAAAATTGTTCATACGTTATTACGGAAACTTGAGGAGTACTAATAACGTAATACGTATGTTAGGTATAATCGCATTGTTCCGTGTATGTATTTTTAACGTAGACCGCGATGAAATACGTTCTCCGTTTACTTTTCATTTTCTCCAAACATTGAATGTAACATTTTTTATTTTTGTTTTAAATGATATCTAAACTCGCACACAGCGCATGTTAACAATAGAATCGTTAGACCCTGAAGTTGTGCCCATGGGCACAACATTGTGTCATATCGAAATATTCTGATTTTTCACCCAATTTTATATCGAGATGGAAAATTTTTTTCGACGCAAGAAAATAAACGAGTCCTCGGAGAAAAATATGTTTTTGACCTGGATTTGTATTTTAAAGTAGCGCGAAAATGCTCTTGCATCGCACACATTAATAAAAAAATAAATAAAACAAAATAAACAAACCGTCACTAAATTTTTATTCCGTATCACGAATGTAATTTTAACATAAAAATTTCATAGGAATTATTACATACAAAAATTTGACAAATATAAAAGTTTATTCGTTTTTTTTTTATCGTGACAGAAAATTTTACTTTATTAGACCGTCAACTAAGAAACATCGTAATTTTATGTCTAAAATTTTTACTATTTTTACTATTTTTACTATTTTCGCAAGCAAAAATTGTTAAATCTAACCGAGTGAAAAGTCAATCAAGTTACTTCATTTCACGAATGCAAAATCATTCATATACCAACTGTTCCAATCCAGCAAATTGAGTCTATTTTTTCGGCAGTGAAAAAGAGTCGAGATGGAAACGATGGCTTGTCTATCCACAATTTTAAAACTTGTGCCGTATCCGTCGATTGTTTTCAGTCATGCAAAAAATAGTCTGCGTTCAAAGAACAAAATTAAAATTTACACAAAACTATTGCAGTATCCAATAAACAATACAAGTCATGCGATATAGTACATCTCCATCAATCTCGTCGTTCTTTCATCGACAGACTCTTTGATCAAAGCAGAATCAATTTTTCTTCAATTAAAGCTTAATGAGCATTTTTCATAAATTTCTCAGTTTCAATTTACTGTATTTAATGTATAGCCGGACCTAATCAATCTATCAAAAAAAAAAAAGTAGTAACGCAAAATCAATAAAAAAAATGTAATTTATAGCTGAATATAACACATTACAAAACAAGATGCTTTTCATTTTTAAATGTTGATAACACAGAAACTATTTCATTTTGATAAGTATATTCAATAATAATAAAATGACAGATAATGGGATACACTATAGATTGATAAATATTCGCCACGTAGCATAACAATTAATATTTGCAACTAATGTAATTAATATTCATCGATGATATAATTATTACAATTATGAATTATTTATTAAGCATCAAGTATTAACAAAGATCATTCTATGCAATATTATGCAGTACAGTTTAAAGAATGCTTATTAACGAATGATAGGGATTTAATGAGATAAACGATATCCATAACAATGGAACGTAAAAGATATTAAAAATACAGTAATACGCGCTAGAAATATTTAATAGAAAGTTAAGTGTATTACATTATAATATATATTATCTGAATATAATTCCATTTTTCTCAAAACAATTGATGCGCAAATCGTGTAAATGACGACATCGACAACGGAAATATATAAATCTTTAAATATACTATTATAAAATTGCTATCTTATCTGCGATCATTTCATACCTCAAATAGTAAGCAATAAATCTTTATCGTAAAAAAAAGATCAATATCTAAAAATTGTATATATTAATCCTTTGCGATCAAAATTTACGAAGATAAATTCGTCTTCAATTTTGAGTAAATCGTTCTCAATTTCACTTCATGCATGTAACATGAATCAAAAAGTTTTATTACTTATATATATTCATTTCTATTCATTTTATTTTGGTTTAAATTATTATCTTATTTTAGTTCATAAAACTAAAAAAAGAGTTAAACTCAGATTAAAGTTATTCTACATTGATAGAAATAGTTATCATAAAAATTTATGAAGATTCAAAAATTATATTCCTGATATCCTGATACAATCATAATATCTCGATTTTAATACAAGGAAAATTATTTAATAACCTTCTGTAAAGATATCGATATAAAGATAACAGTCCAAAGTAATATATCGTTAGATAGCAGAAGGATAGCAAAAGATTAATGTTATGAATATTTTAATGTATTATAATATATACATATATCTTATAACATATGCATATCTATTGCGACACGATAAAAAATGGAGCGGAAAATGAGACAATGTTCTGACAAGACACGCGTCACACGTCTTTAATGTCTCTCTACAATATTATAGATTTGGTGTCGGTTAAAGATTATTTTAATAACATATGTGTCGTAAATCCATAAGCGTCCGATCTCGGTTTTCCCTGAAATGCAACGCGATCTGATGAAGGTCAGCGCGACAAGACATCCCGCAACGGCACGTGCTGTTCCGAAAACACGTGTTTCCCCCCTCCCGCTGGTGCGCATGGAAACATTCACCGAAGTCTTCCTTCTATTGGAGCAGCGTATGAATGGCGCGTTGAAATGCCACGCGGAAATAAAATATCTGTACCCCTCTTAAGCTGCAAATTAACGGAGATAATCCATGTCTTGATAATTCGAAACAAGTTCAAAAATCGTAATGAATTCAACGTGCGCTATTTAGATCATTTTAGCGAGATGCTACGAAATTTTGTAACGAAGAAAAGCGTCGAAAGCATTGGAGAGCTGTTATTAACGTGATCAATCCGCATGGAGGTGATCGCGACTATTATAGCAATATGCGCAAGACAGAGACGGAACGAACACGTGCGAACGCACGCGACGAATACCCGCGGCGAATAAGGGCGACCGAAACCTGTTCGCGCTCGACTCGGCATTCCCTTTAACAAAGCAAAAAGTCGTCCGGCATGAACAGAGAAAGAGAGATACGCGCGACCGGTAGATGAACGAAATACCGACGAACGAGAGACGATCGCGAAAACGTCACGTACAAGACCGGTTAGAGAGATGAGCGAGAAATAACAGTGATAAAAAGCGAACGCGAGGGATCGAGGAGAGGTTAGAATCCCTCTCCGCGATACTCCCGAATACACGGCACTTACCTCGTGCGCCCGCGGATGCTGGTGGTCGCAGTGCCGATGCTCGAACATCCCACTCACAAGATTCAGCACAGCGCACATCGCGAGCAGAACGGCGAGCGGCGACACGCCGGTGCCGCGGCGCATCTTCAACCGCACTCGTGCCGCCATCACGGATAACTCGCGCGCTCGCCAAGCATGACACATACTGAGCGCGCCCGCCGGCGCCGCGCATTTATAAGGCCGGCGCGGCGGCAAGCAGCGCCGCGCGACTCACGTTCGATATCCCGAGCACGTCGGCGGCGGCGGCGGTGGCGGAGACGGCACTCCGACGGCGACGGCGGCAGCGGCGACAACAACGACGAGGAGGACGACGAGGATGACGACGACGATGACGACGACGACGACGAGGACGACGACGCTGTCGCTGGGATAAACCCCTCGTCGTGAAGAACCTGCGAAAAAATCGAAGGACTTGTACGACGTGCTGAGGCATGATTAAATTTAATGCGACACAGACGCTTTTACTCGCTGAATAATAATGAACGAATAAACTGGCGGAGACGATCGTCTTCGCACACACACACCTTCGTACCTGTCGAAGCAAATACTATAACAGGTCGAAATAAAAAGACATTAGAGTATTTTTCTCGCTTAAAGTTGAAGTATTTAAATAATAAAACGTATAATTTGCATCTTACAATATTATTTAAATTTGCATGCATCCGACATTATGATATGTTAAAAAGCTACAGAGAGCAAAAGATTATTTGCATGAAATATAGAACATACTTCTATTACATACTTTTTATTTTAAATCGAAACTATCGTTTGTATCTTTTTGTGTAGAGTATTTGTTTCATTTTATTTATATAATTTGTTCTGTAACAAAGATCTAAGATCTAATTTTAAGTTTTGATGACTCACAAAAACTTCGGTAGATAAATGTCTAAAATAAATTAATGTCTAAAAAATGACATATTTTGAGTCTGACATTAGCAATGTAATTAATATGAGTCTTTCGATTATTCGAACATACATACATTTTTACAAAAAAAAATGATTATTATAATTTTAGTTTTTAGTGTGTAATTACATTTTAAGATCAATAAATAATTGGCATCAGTTTGTTGACCTGAAAAAAATGTATCAAAAAGATATTAATTTGCAAATCATTAAGGGCCAGTTCTTGACCTTTTTCTCTCACTTATTGTTTAAATTTGTTATTTCTCAAGCCTTTATTGATACTTATTTTTAAAAAAATATTTTAAATCCTAATTATTTAAAATTAAACATTAAACAAGCAAACTCCAATGATTAAAAAAGATTAATTTTAAAACAAACGTATATCGGTCTTTTAAAATAAACATTTTTCTACTCAAATATTTATTCTAGATACTCTATTCTGGACAAAACCGGAATTTTTATTTAATTGAATAGAATTGGATATTCTTTTTTAGTAAAATATTTTTTAATGTAGTTTGCAGTAAAAAATTTCTTAACAGTAAACTTGATAATTTCACAAGAAATTAATGCAAATAAATGAAAGTACGATTTATATCGACGTTTTTTAATCTTAATAGCAATAGTATCTTAACATCAAATATGCCAATACATTGCATGCATTATTAGATATTTATCAAAATAAAGATTGATTATATCAACGTAAGTATGAAATTAATTTATTTTCTCTTCTGCCTGCGATAGGATTATAATTTATAAATATCGAAATATTATTAATCATTGACTTATCATAGCCATAGTTAATTCACTCGATACACCGATGTAACTTGACCTTTAGTATCATCGTTCTCCATGTAGTTAGTGATACCTGTCTTGACGCAACAAGAAATTTGATCCCTATGATATCATCATGGAAAGAGGTTGAGATTTTTTGTGTATACTACCAATCGTAGTTGACATTTGTGTTTGCGTAAAAACGGAGTAAAAGCTTTTTTATAGTTTGATATTCGATATATTCACGCGTCAGACTGATTTATTAAATTGGAGTAAACTTTACGGTTGATATGCAGCATAAATGGAATAAATAAGATTATTTAAGAACTCAATACATTTTGAAAATTTAATCAAATTATGCAGAAATTAATTCCATTTTACGTTGAAAGCCGCCATAATGATCTCTATTAGATTTAGCACATTAAATATTTTGAGAACGATGATAATCGTCCTGATTATAATCGAATATATGTTAGCAAAAGAGATCAAAACAATATTAGCAATATTCTTGTTCTATGAAATAATATGCATGTCTCGAATGAAGAATTGATCTTGAGATCCCAATTTGTACAAAAATAGAGTTCATCTTTTTTAACCTAATGAAATTCTAATCGCTATATGATATTTAATTACCATTCTTGTAAATAATAATCGATCGAAGCAATATTCTTTCGTCGATAATTATTACAATTAATATAATTATTACAATTAATCAAATTAAGTCAGATACAAGTGTAAAGCGAAAAATTGTTCATAACTCAGTCTTATCTTATCTTAAATAACATAATATTTATAAAAATGCAGTTTATTCATAAAGGTAAAAGTAAATTATCAAAATAATAAGTTCTATTAATGAGATTATATGCAAATGCAATAAATATCTAGATAAGTCTAGGTGTACAGAAAATTCACAAAATCACAAGCACTTTGTAAACAACTATATAACTAAAGAAAACTATTGAGCTTAATATGTAAAATGCAGTAATTTTCTTGTATAGGAATAATAGGATTATTACGGTTTGATCTATTAAGCTCGATACGTAAAATGCAGTAATTTTCTTGTATAGCAATAATAGAATTATTACGGTCTGATTGCTATGATGTTTTTACAAGACAAAACAGTAAGCAAGCAAAGTAGAAGTGTACTAACAAAATTGTTGCCGCAATACTTGTTGTACAATTGTGATTTAACCTCATTGAAAAAGTAAAACGCATTAAATGCACGAATTCGAGCAGAATACCAAATAACAAAAATTTATAAAAGCTATATGATTAACAAAAGGTATTGTATTTACTTAAAAGCAATATTACGCCAGCTATTTTGGATTATATCAGAAGCAAACAAATAAATACAAACAATTTTAGTAATCATACATATTCATATAAATAACTTTTTGTTAACGAAGTTATTTTAGCTATTGATGTCTGAGGAAATTTTGCGAGGGATTCACGAAATAAAACAAATATTATAATTTATTCGATATTATTGCACGATTTCCACAAATATAATACATATATATTTCCATTGGATCTATTCATTTTCATTTAATTATTAACAAATTATTTTATTACATATATAATTAATATAGGAAATTATATAAATATACTATTATTTATACTTAAATATAATATAATATTTATGATTATGTCTTCGCACGCGCGTTACCGTAACATTTATAATCGTTACATTAACCGTTAACATTATTAATTTTTACAAATCTGAGCGTACCATTTTTTACTGGCACTACAACTTAAATTTACACAATGAGGGCATCGTATTAAAAATTTAGGATTTATAGATTGTTTCGATCGGAGATGAGACACAACAATGTCTGTTAAAGCGTCGATGAAAATAGGATGATCATTAGGCGCGGCAGCTCTTCGTATTCTCTCGATACCAAGCTAAAAAAATTAAATGTAAAATATTCCTTGTTCATAATATTAGACAATAAGATACGGCACTTCTTACTTCTTCGGCAAGTTCTTGGCAGTATTCTATGTCCAATTCATGAAGAGTTTCAATGTGCTCATTTACAAATGCAATCGGTACGAGAATAAAATTTTTCTTGCCCTGTTTAACGTAACCCCTCAATGCTTCATCGGTAAACGGTCCTAGCCATGCCGTAGGTCCAACCTAAATATGTATATTTCGTAATACATAATTCATCAAATAATGCGACAATTTTTTGTCTAAACCGGCTAAATTTCGTTAAATTTTAATACAGCAAATATTTTTTTTTATATACCTTTGATTGCCATACCAAACTATATGGATTGCAATAATTTAATTCCTGCATTACTAATGCAACTGTGGCTCCAACTTCTGCGGGATAAGAATCTCCTCTGTTTACAACCTAATTACGGGAAGAAACAAGAACAAGAAACAAGAGTCAGGCTAACTTCTAAGTGACTATAAAACTGAATACACGTTGATTTAAGATGACAACCTTCAACGGCAAAGAATGAGCTGAAAACAAAATTATCACATCGTCTCTTTTTTCGCTAGGAAATTGCGCAAGTTCCTCTTTAATTCTTTCGACAAATGTTTTAACAAGGAGCGGATGCGTGGCCCATCTATCGATGATGCTCCATTTCATGCCATTTGGTGACTCTCTGTAAAATAATGGTTTACTTGTTTCGTGCGTATATTTTAACATATTTTATTTTAGTTATAACTTACATATTAAAATATGTAATATGTAATTTAATTTATAAAGTTTTAAATAAAAGTTTTTTGTGTGTACAGCAAATATATGTATATAGCACACGAATTATATGTCACTCTTAAATCTGCCTATAATATATGAAAAATAAATAACAAAAATCAATTAGAGTTTTTCTTTTGCATTAATGTACAATTAATCTTACCTATATTAAAAATAGATTAAAAATAATAAAAAATAATCACCTAGTTTTGTAATAATTGTATATAGCATTAAAACTGGATCCTGATGTTGAACAACTATATTGAGGATATTGAGAAAAAAGTATAGTATGCTGTACTCCATCGCTGAAAAAGGAAAAGCACCGCTCATTCAAATTATCCCTTAATTACATTTCTACAATCATGTTTATGTGTTATACATATTTAGATTGCATTATGAAAAATACAATAACCATACTTGCGTATCCTCTCAAGAGTATCTTCTGTGAGAGGATCTGCATATCGAAAGGCAACATAATACTTATGAGGCGCGGTTTCAGGCGAAATTTCATCCAATTTATTGCATAAAAGTTCGCCCTGTTTATTCGTCCATCGTAAAATTGGCGAACCGCCGCCAATCTCAGAATACTTTTTCTGTACTTCTGGAGTGCGACGTTTCGCTATCCAAGGACCTAATTTACTGCAACATACATCTGTATATTCCTCCTACATAATACTAGCTTCTGTAGCATGCATGTAAGCTTTAAAATATAGAAAACCTTTGAACTGGCAGTTGGATCATATCACGATCGGTCATTATTCTTAATAAATATTCATGAACCTGATCAGTATTGGCAGGACCACCCATATTTAACATTAATATAGCAGTTTTTGGTTTTACATTGTGTCTGTCTGCTGGATTTGTAGCGACAGAAGCATAATATCGTGCCATAGCAGTAAGTTTCGTGCAATGTCGCCCTAGATAATGTTACATTATCATTACCTAGTATTCATTTAACCACTGTAGAGAAATCTCAAATGAAAGTCAACAATGTGAAGCAAAATATAAAATTATTCTTCCTCATAAGTAACGGAAGTAAAAGGAAGTAAACGGAAGTAATGTTGCAAACTATAGCTTGATAATATAATCTTTCATGAGATATTATAGATTTCATTGAAGATCAAATTGAAAAACTGTATTATTAAACAAGCTCACAAATAAAACATATCACTTTAAATAATAAAGTATATTTTTATAGTATATTTTTAAGTATACTAACATTTAATACTTTATATATATGGTAAAACTTCTGGATTATATCGGCTAAATTGTTAAAAATATTTATAATAAACAAAAAAATTAATCACTAACATTCTGCTCTCATTATGATAAGAATCATTTTATTGTTTCTAAAAAATATGGCTTAAGACATCAGAATCTATTTACTTACCAGAACATAAAATGCTCGTTAATAGACTGTTAATGCTCATATTTAATTAACACCTAATAATCCAGGCTGAAAAAAATTAAAAATTGCAACGTAGAGGTTACCACGAATGTCGCGAGTTATGCATGATCATGATGACAGTAGTACCATTAAGTCTTGTGTCCACGATATTATAAATCGATCCGAGATTTCGGACGAAGGAAAACTGACCAATGATAATGGGCTATGTCGATCAACTAATCAATATGATTAAGTAATATTTTCTTCGTTCGAGCTCTCAGATTTATGTCTAGCATCGGACACAAGACTTTAGATAGGATCAAGTTAATCTTTAGGTTAGGTTCAACGATGCACATGTGTAATCACGTGTAATTAAAAACGTGCAAATAAAAATCAATATACGATTAATCAAAATTTTTAATCTCATAAAACTGCTTGCTTTCTTGGATAATTAACGACAGTCATTCCACATATACAAAAATTATTGAAAAAATTTAACAAAAATTCAACACATGCGTTCGATTTTTCTTTTATGATTTTTCTTTGCATTTATTGCACAATTATATTAATATTAATTGTTCTTGACGAATGTATCTTTTTTTGGAAAATAAAGTCCTGAAATAAATGTACAGAAAACTCTACCCAAAATCGTACGCAACGCGATAAACTAATAAACTCTCAGAGTCTCAGATGACAACTCTACTCTGTGTTTAGGATTACAGCTATCAGATAGCGCTATAAACACCTGCACCAAACCATTATTTATGCAAGTTGCAAAATATATTTTAACAGAATAAACTAAAATATTGTAAAAAAACACGATATTGTCATGAAGATACATATTCTTATATGAGAAAAAAATAAACTTTTTTTCTTTCTTGCTTTGGACTTCACAATTAATAAATTTAATCATTAAAAGTCTAAAAAAAATTAATCGTGTATAATAGAAATTCAATTGTATCATTGATACAAAATAAAAAATATTAGCGTAAACGCTTTTTGTAAAATTAAGACGCATCATTTTTAGTATCATTGCAACAATTTAATATAATTTGACCTAATTATTTTTTAACAAATACATATTTCTATTTAATTATTAATTAAAATAAAACGTGATATATATTATCATTGATAAGAAAATACCTAAACGATGCTGCCATCTAGCCGTAAAATTTCGAAGCAATTTCATGCTCCACGTTGAGCTTTTATTACACCGGTTCACGAATAAACATTGCCTATCAAATTTATCGGATTTAATTCATTTTTCTTATGACAACGTGATCAATACGTTTGTAACACTATCAATTGTTTCATAAGAATTATTTCATGTAAAATCTGTGGATCCGATATCACCCGAGCAATCACATCGTGAGATCCGGCCGACCAGATCGACGTTATTGTTCTCGTCAGGTTTCAACGAGTCGCAGTGAAATAATGACAGAGCAGGAAAACGAGGAGCTGACGTCGTCGGATCTCGGCACTCTCGATTTGTAAGTAATACGTACCGTGACCGCGAGACACCCGTTGTGCATTACTCGTCGCTTTTCTGACCCTCTGTGCCGCTCTTGCTGCAGCTGGGAGAACGCGTACGCGCAGGAGCTCGACAACTTTCGCGACCACGGCGATGTGGGCGAGGTGTGGTTCGGCGCGGCCAACTCGCGCAAGGTTGTACGGTAAGCGAAGCCAAGGACCAGCACGCGAACACGCGTTGCTCGCACCGCGGATAAACAGCACCGCGGAAAATCGATAGGCTTTCCCGCGGAAACGCGCAAACAGCCGCGACGCGATCGAGACTGTTCCACGCGCGTCACTGGTGGCGACATCTGCCGAGGGGACCGAGCTGTGGCCTGTCATCTCCGTCGGTAGCGCCCTCGATCTCCGGCGTCGGCCCCGCGGTAGTCTTTTCTACTGCGGATAATTTAATAGATTTTAATAAATCTACGATTATTTATTGAAAATTAGTTTAAAAATTATGTTTTCCTTCTCGACGTATTTTATATATTTTTTACTCGGTATATTAACATTAGGTGATTATTGAGATAGGTTTTTCATTTTTTCGTGCAGTTCAAAATATTAAAATAATTCAAATTTGTATAAATTGTATATTTATCAATATAATTTTATGCATGAATTAAGAACATTTTTTTCGTCGATTATGTAATATTTTTTTCTACTGCGGATAGTTCGCTAGATTTAAGAATAAATCTACGATTATTTATTGAAAATTATTTTAAAAGTTATGTTTTTGTCTCAATATAATTTATACATTTTTTAGAAGTACTTGATATTATTAATATCTGCTGATTATTGATAATTCTTTCATTTCTTTTTGAATAGTTCAAAATGATTAGGATAATTTAAAATTGTATGAAATTACAACTTTCGTTTCTCATTAATATGTATAATTTTATACATAAATTGATAAATAATGAAGCAAATATTTTTATATTATAATTTTAATATAATATACAATCCATATAGTGTGTAAACAAATTTTGTAATGAAAGAATTATATTATATGATTAATATATTCAATTTTATATAAGATGTAATTAATTTTTTCCTAAAGTCTATTTAAAAGTAATTATCTTTTTGATGATATTTGAAGTAAATAAAAAATAAAAATGAATGAGTGTCATTATAGTTGCGAGAATATCAGTATATAAATAAGTGATAAAAACAAGTCATTTTCTAGATGGATCGCCACGAAATTGGATTTAGACAAAGAGAGAGATAAGATAATCGATGTAGGATGTGGTAATGCGATGACTTTAGTGGAACTCGCGGAAGAAGGATTCACGAACTTGACGGGAGTGGATTACTCGCAGAAAGGGATAAATCTAGCCCGCATGGTGTTGAACGATAATAACTTACCAAACGTAAATTTAAAAATATGCGACATACTCGACAATGCATTGCCGTGTGATTTTAAAGTCGTCCACGATAAAGGCACTTACGATGCTATTAGTTTAAATCCAGAAAATCCGACTATAAAACGACAGAAGTATATAGAAAACGTACATCGCATTCTTTTACCAGGAGGATATTTCATCTTGACGTCCTGCAACTGGACCAAAGAAGAATTGCTGAAACACTTCGCAAATCGTTAGTATAATAAAATTTTAATAATTTTGCCACTTAAAATAGTGAATATATTCTCTCAATGAAATTTATTGTATGTGCGCGTGTTTATGATTTCTCGGATTTCTCTGATTATTTTATCAAAAAAAAAAAATGTATTTTTTTACAAGAGAAATGACTGCTACGCATCATTATCTTTAGAATATAATGAAACTATCTTCTGAAATGTGCATGCTTTGCGATAATGCGATTATTGTTCGCAGATTTCGAATTTGATAGTCAGCTTCCTACAGATACATTCCAATTTGGTGGACAGACGGGAAACACCGTAACACAATTAGTATTTAGAAAAAATGACAATAAGAAAATTTATATGTGTATATTTCTATACTACATAAAGATAAATGAAATAATTGTGTCAAATCTGTAAAGAAATTTTAATGATTACCTTCCCATATAGAATATATAGAGTAAATAACTTAATAAATAATATAATATTTTTAAAGAATAAAGAACTATTCACTCGAAAAGTTTCAAGAATTTATTTGTGCAAGAAATATTCAAATACATAAAACGGCATTAGAGCGAGAATAATGACTAACTTTACGCTTTCATTATCACAAAGTTTACAAAAGATACACTTACACTATAATAAATTAAACTCTGCGACAACCCTATGTGATCACTAAATGTATAATAACGGTGACATAAATATATTATATATTTGGTGCGTTTATGTTATTAATTAAGATATTGCTTATATTCGTAATTGACAAAAGGTATATTTATATTTATTACAAGAATTTATTTTAATATCATATATTCAAATCGACCTACAAGATCTAGCTCGAAATGGATATAACATTTGATGAACGATTGAATATTATTGTTGAATTTTAGGATTCTGAAATATTTAAAAAACTATTGTTTGCAACTTTGTAAGTTTATTCTACGAATCTTTTTTCATTGTATACTTTGCGCATTAAAAAAAAACATATAAATTACAAATACATTACATTAAAAATAATTAATATGAGGATTTTTAAATAAATATTTTCTAAAATGCTAAAAAGTTAAAATATGAAGCTTAATCATGTACACTGCAAAAATTTATTACCAAAGCATCATTCTGTTATCTCAACTATCTTCTAAGGATAGTCAAATTTGATGTGAATCTAATAATAAACTTTATCTGCAATATGTTAACATGTTATATATTAGTCTTTCAAACTCATATTATAATTATTATATAATAGAATAAAAATGTTAGAACATGGTAATAGTAATAAAATGGCGGATTATGATTATACACCAAGCAGAAACAAATACGTAAAATAATAAATTTGGTGTCTGTTATATAATTTAATTATAATAACTAGAACAATTCTTTCTAATTTTATAACTTTTAAGCATTTGTATACTAAAAATGTAAACCAAGATTGGTTGTTAATTAATAATCCATTGACTACTGATCACAAAGTAAATCAGAATTAACAATCACTTTTTTAATATTTTATTGTTACGAGACATAGCTACATATAGAATAATAATTATTTTGTCAATAGTTCAATTATATCAATATAATGGCAAAATATAAGAAGCAAATTCGTTTAAATAAATGTTTTCTTGTAAAAATAACAAAATTGTATTTACTTTTGCAGATTTGTAAAATTAAAAGTGATTGAGAATTCTGAATCACTTATTGTTGTACAAAAATAATTCGAAAACATTTAAATTTTTTTTTATAATTATAATTTAATATTTTTCGCATCTTATCGTCGGCTATATAAGACTTGTGAGTTAACTGATACGTTGATCATAAGATTGAATGCAAAGATAATTTCTTAAATTTAACATGAAAATACTAAATTTTTATATATAAATATAATATAGAATATAGAATATAATATAGAATTTCTATAAAATTACTCTAGAAATTGTAATAAATTTCTTTGATAATTCTAAATGAAAAAAAATATACGATTTACAATAAAACTCTATATTTGATAAAAAAAATAAAATTTATTCATAGTTCATGATTATTTAACATATAAACGTGCATTATTATTCTGAAACTTAAAATATTTGTACATACATCTTAAACGCTTTCATTAAATTAAATGATTGACACGTTAAATGATAAGTATATTTCTAACGACTTCTCTTTGGATTCGTTGGTTCGAAGAATTATTATATCTTTCTACTGTGGATTATCATACAGATTTAGGGGTTATCAAGATAGTTTTTTAAAAGCTGAAAGCTTTAAATGCAGTTAAGTCTTCCAAACACGAGCGAAGCAGCCAATAAAGCCATCGTATACAACGTGAAGACGGATGAGCAACCTAGAAAGTATGTAAACATGTCATGAAATAATTTTTGTAATATATTTGTTGAATATATTGAAAGTGATATTCAATTATCTCGTAAATTATTCTACGAAAAAGAATTTCTGTGTATTGCAATACATTTTTGATAAATATGTGGCAAAAATTTCATAATAGCTAAACGAGATAATTACGTCATTCTATCTGATTAATTGCAGATAATTTTCTTGCTAAATATTATTTATTATCACATTTTTTCCAATTTTTAACATGAAGATAGATTAACGTCTTTTGAAACAAACAGGAAAGTTAATAGACTAAATATATATTTAATTGAGAACATTAGTAATACTAAATGAATATAGCAACGATTGATATTTATATTTATAACAAAAATATTGCTTAAAAATTATTACAAAATTATATCTTATTACTCATTGAAAGGAGCATTTTATAACTTATATAAAATTAAAGAAAATCTATTTTAATATTAATTAACCTTTTCTATGTTTAAACTGTACTATTAAAACAGAATGATAAATTATATAATGAAAATCTTAAATAAAATAAAACTTACCATTGCAGAACAGAGGAGATTCTTCATAAAATCCTTCCCGGCAATAACAGCGTTTTCCCATTGTGCTGTTACGTTGCACACAGTGGGCAAATTCTATACACTCTATATCAGCATTGCATGGTACATGAATAGCTAAAAGAAAAAAATACAACTCTTACAATAACTTACAAAATTGTGTAACAAATGATGTAAACAAAAAGATTAAGTGCAAATCTTTTATTTTTTACTTTCTTTAAAACATTTCATCAATTGTTTGGAAAAATGAGGTATGATTCCATGTAATAATTTTTACGTATTTACTCTTAATACAAACTTAGTATCTATCGAATTTATGATCTTAGTGATCATCGTATGATTCCAATTAATTATTGTAAATGAACGACTCTATTTAACTTCTCATGAACATAGCTTTTATGCGCGATCGATTCTGGCCGCAGTTAATTGTGCTTAAAATGTTCGAAGTAATCATCGGCAACTCCGCCGAAAATCAGAAGGGAAACGTGCATAGTAATCATCTAATCAAACGAAATTGCCGAGTTTCCGGATCGTTTCACGAACCTCTAATATTACATATCGAACTACAAATTGCTTGGTACACGTTGTACGATTTCCAAAGTTTTAAAATTCATTATTGCATCGTGCCAGGTACGGTTGTTGCTCTTACTTTTGTTAACAGTCTATTGTCAATCTATTGTCTATTAATACGAAAACCATAAAGTGTTTAACTATATATGACTATGTCTTATAATTTGTTAAATATTGTAAGAAATATAACGTCATATCTCTCGCCTTCTAGAATACAATTTGTGAAAGCTCGCAGCTAATATATATTTAGTTTTTACTTTTGTTGCTGTTTTACTTTCACGCTTTTTCTTGCCGTGAAGGAAAAGCGAGTTGTATCGGCGTGAACTACTGAAGGTAGGTTGTGGCGGTACTCTTTACCCGTACCAATTTGCATAGATAACCATAGACCTGCTACGAATACTGTCACATATGTATGTTCACATACTGCAATAGAGCACGTAAGTGCAAGATTTGCAAATGCAAATCTTCGTCTTTTAATTAAAATTACCTTCCGAAATTTGACTTGTTTCAAAGAATTATAACAATAAATACTAAGTGGATACGTGTGCGAAACATAAGCATATATGCAATTAATTGAAATAAAAATAACATTACATAGGATATAAAATGTTGCCCAACATTTTAAATCCTATCAAAAAATATTGAATAAAAATATTTCTGCTGGAATAAAATCAAAATTAATTAATTTTATAATAAAAATTGAAACGTAAGCATACATGCAATTGATTAAATACAAAATGATGTCACATGTTATGCAACATTTTAAATGTTACCGAAAAATATTGAGTGCAAATATTTTTGTCTGAATAAAGTCAAAATTAATTTCATAATAAAATTGATCTACCTTTTAATTTATTATGGCAGGCACCATTGATTGGTGCCGTGTAATCGGTACAAAGACATCGAGTTCTTCCATCTCGGGGATCCGACATGCACGTTGTATTTTGAATACCAGCACAGTCGTTTTCCATTCTACATTCGCGAGCTTTACCAGCTGCAATATTGTATTATATCACGTATAATATTATTTCACGTAAGACACCGTAATCTTATTTGACCTTTAGTTTAATACGTTTTCAGTCCGTAAAAGTGCATGCAATATTATTTTAAGAAGATTTTACCGCAAAAATCATTAAATTTACAAAAGAAATAACTATCGCAAAATTTTATTTCGCGATAGTCATTCTACAAACTACAGGGATATTTTATGTAATATTTAAAATTCAAAAATTTATTTTTTTTTATTAATAAGAAAAGCAAAAATTAATGATAATTTTTATGCAATAACATTTTCGATTGTGAAAATTAATTTTACTACTTTTAATTGTACAACTTGTAGATAATTTCAAATAATATAACAATTGTATATGTAATAATATAACAATGATATATTGATAAAAAGAATAAAAACTATACAGACTAGCACTCTGACATTCAGCAGAGCATTAGCATTTATTCGCAGTTTAACCTTGACTCAAACATTAGATTTTATATCTACGCATTTTTCATCTCTGACGAATTATTGTGAGATTAATTTGCATGTTTATAGAAATAACAATAGATACTAAATAACATATTAAAAATTACTTTGTTACGTCAAACAAAACAATTAAAAGAATAACTGTTGAAATTATATATCAAAATAATTATTACTCTTAATAAAATTGTATTTTATATAATATAATTAGATTTATTTATATACATACGATAAATAGATTCTACATAAAATTGAATGATCTTATACATCTAAGAATTGCTAAATTGTAATTTTTTAAGAGATTGAAATTAACAAAATAAGTGAAATAGAAAATAAATTAATATCTTTGATCTTTTAATATTTAATAAGTAAAAAAAATATAATAGAATCGTTGTATACATTGAGATATTTACGCTCACAAATTTGCTTTCAATGTTTAAAATTGCACTTATAAGTTTAAATTATGAGAATAATTATGAAAATTATTACATTCACAATTATTATCCTTAAAATATAACTATTTAGAAAGATTTTATTATTTGTTAGCGGTATATACGCTTTTTGAATTTTTGTTTATAACATACTTGGTGTAGGTGGTGGCGGTGGATTCGAATTTTGATTTTGTTGATTGCTCTTTCCGAAAGTTGTGAGGGCAGCGGACATCGGCGGCGAAAAGATTGATACGACCAACAAAATGGATATAATTATTCGAAGACCCATTCCACCTCTCATGGTCTCTTGTTTAATCCTTATACAAATAATATTTAATTATTATCACTTATACGATCACAAATCACAAACCCAAACTCTAACAAGGAAACTTGTGAAAATCACTTTTCTCTTCTTTAGATTTTAATCTTCTTCACTCCTATTTTTCACCTCAAACTATTTCTTTTATCTTCCTAGCGAATTAATTTCGGCACACCAGAGATCACTCCGATGGAAATCTGATTGGACCGGTGACGGCAAAGTTAAGTGAGATTATTCTTCGCACTTTCGATCCATTTACGCGGAATACTAGTATGTTTGATTCCAAGACTGCGTGTTACAAGGACGTTGGAAGGCCTTTTAAGCCTTCGAAGCATCCCCACTACAAAACCCTCTACGTGCTGCCACTACTAAAGTAGAAAATGTTCTACCATAGGGTGGTTACCTTACCACCTTTCTTGAGATCTGAATACGAAGTTAGCTGGTTGAACTTCGATCGCCTCGAAAGACGCAGCTAGATATTCCATTACCGAGCCATTGCTGAGCATTGCCAGCAAAATTTGCCAACGAATTCGACGTATAGGACTTGACTTCTTTTTAAGATACCACCCGGAAACAACCCCTGAAGCTTCTGCCTTGCATTATCATTTAGCATCCATTTTCAATATCAATCTTCACATCACATTTTCAATATCAATTTTCATATATCACTAATAAATTTTAATAAATTTCTATTTAACTATATAATTAAACAATACATAAACCCGGTTAGACGTCAGTTTATATTTTCTAGGAAGCCAAATGTCCGAGCTGAAACAAACTTTTGTAATTACTGTGACCGTATCAACAATCTGCTTAAGTTTCTTCAGTCAACTCGAGGAAAATTAAGGGAATGTTCGTTGAGACCTTTCTTATAATATACATATATTACAATCACGACATTATTGTAAAAAGTTGGTCTCATGCTGACGCCGAATATGGGTTACATGAAATGCCTCATCTGAAAACCCCGCAATTACTTTAATCGACCTACATACACTGAATCAAATATTCGCTTAACTTTTCATCCTTCATGCCACTAAAAGGGCATGTGTTTATAAATCAATTTTTATACAAAGTATGTACAAAAAGGTACAATAATGAAAAAGTATTTTGATTTTTAAAATATTATTTTATTCATTTTTGTTCACCGGGCTTTACAAAAATAATTTCTTAAAAGTCATTTTATTTCTTTAATTTATATAGTAAACAAACATTTACTGACATAAGAAAAATTATTAAAAATAACAATTATTAGAAAAATATTAAATTTTTTGTACAATTATCTTGTTTAATAACTTTAATAATTCTGCTGTATTAATTATACAATTTTCTTTATATTTGTAAATAACTTATTACAAACTGAAAAAAGAAAAGAAAAATATAAAAAAATGTTTATAACATTATTGTTTAGGAAGAAATTGTATATAAATGAAACAGACAATTTTTGAGAAACTGATAATTTTACTATTGTATCTCCATTATTCGCGTCTAAGCAATTTAATGATTTGAAATAACTCATGAGAAAATTTGGTATCATCGCATTCTCTTCATGTAAAATACATTTAAAAACATATGATACATGTGTATATCAATTACGTAAATTTTTATTCAATAATTTTTATAAATAAATAATTCATAGTATGTAAGAATTTGAACAGCATTTTTTTTGCAAAATAAAGTTATATTATTGCGGCTTTCTCGTGCAATTGTTGTAAGAAGTTATCTGAGTATCTTGGTTCTTCCTTGGTTATCACGTGCCCGGCATCGCGACGTTACTTTTCTTCGTCGGAATACCACCGAGCCCGAAATGTTAATTTCGCAAGTTACAAAGGAGGCGCATCCGGCTGTTCGTGCACGAAAGCGACCGAAAATTTATCGTCGTGTTGCCAGTATTTTATAGGCAGACAGTCGTAGAAATGTGTCCGCCTGCACGCCAAGTGTATCGCGCCTCGCCTCGTAACGTTCACAGCAGCAGGAAGGCGTCGGATTGTCGTGCCGATTTTATGATGATCACGTCACCTTTTGTTTCAACGAGGAAAACTTCTCATCGATCGTCGATCACGAAGGCTCGCGTGTGATTCATAAATTTAACGAGACGCGTGCCATGATTTACAAGGCAATTTGCCGGAATGCTCGTCCGGCGATCGAAATACTGATCGAACTGTCGTGGTCGATCTTGCATGTTTCACGAAAGTGTAAGGTGTAAGGTCAGCGCGCGATTAAGCCCGTGATTGGTTCAGTGCTGGCATTAATAAAGAAGCGCAAACGCTATATCAACTCAACAACAATCCCTGATAAGATCGGCAATCATATTTTATTAAATATTTCATTTACGTAACTTTGAATATTTCGCAACCAGCATTCCATTTCCGTTCAATTTAAATATCAACTGAACTTAATGATGTGAAATTTTGATTTTTTTCCGCGCAATGATATCGTGCATAAATATTCTGTTTCGTATGCTTTTAACGAGTGACAACATCGATGCATAAACATAATGACATGTAAACATAATATAGTTAAATTAATAAAATAGATTTCATTGTTTCATATATCCATAGAAAAATAAAAATTTATTATAATTGTATGTACTTGTTATAATTGTAAAACTTGTTGATAATTTAATATTCTAATATTAATCCAACATTTATTTTAAAGTAGAAACAATAGCAAAAGGTTATGCACTTTCAGTATAATCAAGAATCTATTTTAAAGATATGCGAGCCTGACCTACTTTTTCAATTCTATAATCACCGAACGGCCAATTACAATCGTCATTCAAGCAACGCATGGAAACATTATCGCATTAACGCAGCTACGTATAAATCGTAAAAAATTAGCATGAATAAGTTCAAGGCCTATGCGCAGACATATGAGCAACGCGCTAATTATTCCGTAGCATGCTTTTGTCAAATTCTTGCAGATTTTATGAACAAATTTCGTGAGCACATTAAATGCCAACGCATTGTGACAGAAACAATTGAAATGCGCTTTAGGAAAAGATTATATATTTGTTTTAATTATAAGAATAACTTCTATGATGTGTGTAATAATTGGTATAAAACTTAATTATAAATAACTTTAATAACATTTTTATAAATTATTTATACAATTTGTTTTAAAATAGTAAGCAATTTTTCGATTACTTTTCATATAAAGGTCTTGGTGTATATAATTCGAGGTCTTCTTCAGCTTCCAGCGGAAATTCACTTGAAGTATAATCGTCATCCAGTTTATTATGAAGAAGATATCGTTCGTGAAGTCTGTCGATGCAGACAGCAAGTATTTCCATTTTTTGAAAAATTTTTTTCAAATTTACTAATAAATCCACGTTTTTATCATCTTCTACTGTGTTTGATATTTGCTCTATAATGTAAGAAACATTATTTTAATACATATTTAAGATAAATTAATAGATTAACGGTAAAAGATGTATTTGCTATTGAGTTATATTATATTAATTTACATTTATTAATAAAATTGCCAAATAAAAAATAAAATATATCTTTTACTATATATTGTAATTAAATAAAGAACAACGTGATTATTAAAAGCAATTTGACAAATAATACATAATAAGTAAAATTAAATCAATTTTTTAAATAATTACCTTGTTGCCATGTTAACTCGTCGGTCATTCGTTTTTTTCTGTGATTATTATTATTTATATCAAATTTATTGTCGCGTTCTTCTAAATATTCCAAAAGTTTCTTTAAACTGGTATATTGGTCGTGCAAGGAATATGGAGAGGTAGTACATAAGTGAGGAGCGATAATGCATATGTTATTCGGATAATTATCTTCATAAAATTTTCTTAATCGATACTGTGGTGCCATGATATTTAACGCTTCGGAATTTAACGCAGAAATTAGTTTCTCTTCAAAACTATGAAGACATTTACAATCATTTGAAATGTTAATATTATCAGAAATTGAGGAATCTTGCTCTTTGATGATTTTGAACTGTTTTTCTCGTTGCGTATCGGAAATTTCAGGAAATAGATTATGTCCTTTGTGCGAAATAATACTGAAATCAAATTCAGAGGTAAAAGGAGATATCGTCGTGACTGTTTCTGTTATTTCTTTTATTATATCGTAATTTTCATCTAGAGGGAACGTAAATAACCTATACATATCAGCTGACTTCACCGTTTGTGATCGAATTGCACTGTTTGAAGTTTCGGCTGTTGGTGTGCTTTCTTGTAATTCAACCGCGTTGATTGTTTCATGTACGGTATCTTGCGGAGTTGTAACTTCTTTATTAGAATTCTCATTATCAATTCCCGTTATTATTTCATCTAATTGTTCAGGGAAATCGTCAAGGTAGTAGTCCAAATAAAAATTATCTCCGGAATTAGTAACTTTCGCATCATCAATCAAATCATCAATTGGATGTATTTCGGAAGAAGTCAAATTCCATTGCTCATCAAATCTAATACCGGAACAATTTATTTTAAGAATTTCCATTTCTAGCGTTATCTCACATTTACTTCCTGGAATAACATCGTCAACTACTGTGCTCTCATGCTGCGGGTCCGAAAATAATGAACTTTTCATCTTACTAAATTCTTCTGATATATCTTTCCGTTCAAGACTATCTGCAAAAAGCGGAGGCGCATTAAACCATTGGAATTTATTAACATTTGAAGATTCCACGCTATCTTCCGCTGTTGGTTCTAAAAACCGTTTCGAAGGATTTTTAATATCTTCCGTCATATCATATTTTTCGTCTTCATTTTTAATATTCTCTGATGAATGTTGCTGTTCTGTATTTGGCGTAATGGCTGTCAATGTAATAAACTTAAAATAATCTTGATTTTCAGATGCGTTCAAAGATGTTGACATATTGCTATTATCTCCATCTTCATTTCTTGCATTAATATCGTCACGTGATCCAGCTTCATTTTCTTCTGAAATTTCTTGTATTTCTTGTAGTTCTTGCATTTCTTGTAATTCAAGCTGAGAAATGAAAGAGATGATTATGTCTTTTAATGACGTATAAAAGAATTCATGAAACTCAGTAGATAGACAGATGTTAAAATCCAATTTCAAATATTTATTTATTTGTTTGCTTATTTCAAAAGAACTATGATCATTTTGCATCTTTTTGACTATATCGGAAAATTTAAGACAGGAAAAACTCTGATTCACATTTTTCCAGATATTTGTGAGCTCTACACTGTAATCGTTTTGCGCCCCGTCTAAATTGAAAATTTTCTGTTTCAATTCTTGCGAGTCATTTGTCAGATTCATGTTGACCATACGAAGTCTTTCCATTAAATTTTCAACAGTTAAAATTATTGCGTCATCTAATTCTAAGCTTTCAAATTTACTGAACATATCCAAGTCATTTTCTTGGCTTTTTAACGTCAATTGATTAGCATCCTCAGTATAATCATTCTTGCTGTCGAACATTTCTAAATTATTAGCTTCTTTTAACTTATCTATAATTCGCAATTTCTCCAAAAATTGTTCATAAAGAGATTTTTCATTCATCACAGTGTTAACGTTTTCATCAACATATTTAGTTGAAGAAATTTTCTGCGGCACCAAACTATTCGTAAATTTTTCATCCTGTACTATATTTTCAGATGATAATGTCGATAAACTGGTGACATCACTTACTCTCGCGTCGTTATTTTGCATATTATTAGTATTTTGCGTATTTGTTGACACTACACTGTGTGCCATGTTTGTTACAACTGTCTTGCTTTGTATTAAATTTTGCTCTTTCGTAAGTTCCATACCTTCCAGAAAATTATTTAATTTATCTATGATGACCTCAGGCTTGACAAATATTACAGGCGCTTCTGTACTTGGACGTGATTTCTGTATCTCAGATGGTGGTTCAAATATTGACGGATATCTCTCAGGAATGATATACGTAGCCTTATTTTCTATTCTTTGGGGAATCCTAGTCTCTAAGATCATGTAACAACCCCATCCAAAAAGTAATATTATTTGCAATAAGAATATTAATTTGAGATACGATATGCATTGCATGCAATAGCTGGGTTCATATTCGATTTTCTTTACGTGTACTTGCTTGTGCTGATGTCGTCCTTCTTCCAACGCTACGAGCTGATCTGTGCAAATTAAGATGTTGATTTATTTGAGCATTTTATTTTACTTACATAATAATTAATATATAAATATATTTATTTAAAAATATGAAATAAATATATTTCATAAAAAGCGATAAATCGATGTATTTAATGTAGAATGAAAATCTATATGCAATTATTTCTCACATTACAATGTATTTTTATAAAAATACAAAATAAAATTTAATTAAGTAAAAATATCAATGTTACATAAATATATAATTTAATACACAATATAAATTTAATAAAGTTTGTTCAATTATTTTAGGTAATATTTTAATAAATTTTTATAATTACACACATATATAAATAATTCTTCTTCTTTTAAATATAGTATAAAAAGATATAAATAAAGATGTAAATAAGATATAATATAAGAAGAATAATATTACTAACTTTCACTAATGCTCCACTGTTCCTTCATGATGAACGAATAACTATAAACTGAACATTATTCTGAGACACTGTTAAATGTTTGGTACAGTAGTATGAACTAATCTCGACTTGGTAAAATAGCATATAGAAGGTCGAGATAAAAGCTGTCTTCTTCTTCATTTTTAGGTAAGACGAAGACGTTCAACGGGTCATTACTTATCTTTCCCGGGTCAACCATATTGATGACTATGTCTCGTTATCAACGGAAATTGACCTCACTATTATATATACGTATGTTTATTTAATTTTAAAATTAATTTTAAAATAAATTCAATATAAATTGAAAATTTAAAGAAATATATAAAATCTAATTTATAAAAATTGACTTTATATGCCAGAAAGAATTTTTTGACTTCAAAAATACACAAAAATTAAGTATAAGTTATGTAAATTAATTTTGCATGCTGCATTTTTTTACTTTTTAATTATTAATATATTATTTGTTATATATTTTAATGATTTAATTAAATTGGTTTTAAGTAATTATAACAATTTGTTACAAATAATTAAGTGCATATCTATTTTTTATCAATACTGCATAATCTAGAAATGCTTTTAAAAAAAAACAATTATTTTTAGGAATATTGAAAAATATGAGGATACTTTTATTAATATTTTGTACAATATAATATTTCAATATAACATTTCATACTTTTTTCAATATTCTGTATTATGTTTTTTGTTGTTTTTGCGTTATAATATACTGAAAACATAAGTACAAATAACATATATCATTTCAAAGATTATTTTCTTACGATAACAAACCAGGTGTTTCAATTGAGATGATATCATTTGACAGTGCCGGTCGTATATTTCAAAGAACCAAGTGTGTAATATTTATACACAATTTTAATAAGAAACGGGCAAGTTTTTAGAAGAAAATAATTTTTTTAATGTTTTTTTTACAATATGCTGTATACATAAATGTGTACTATAAAATGAAAATAAAAATTAATCTGATATAATCATAAAAAAGTTGCAAAAATATAATAGACCTTTTAATTGCATTTACAAAACAAAATAAAAAAAAATAAATTTCTTAATAATAATATTTTAAAACGCAATGTAAGAAAAAGGGAAAGGGTTGATAATTATTATTATAATAAAATTTATAAAACTAAATCTGTGTGCTTTATACTTTATTTAGAGCCAGCACTGTTCTTAGATTTGATAAAAGAAGCCAGTCTGATTAAACTTTATTATTGAAGACGTCGAAGTAATATTCGTAAGATCTAAAGATGCGGCAAATTGAAGAATTTGTGTATATAGTATTATATCTACAATTTTTCATCCACAATGGTAAGAGAATATGAGACATAATAATAAATTTGTTATACATATGTACACACATGTTTGCAAAATTTCTTTAAAATAACAATTATTTGTATAAGTATGAGATGAGTATTCTCTAATATGTAATGAAATATGTTATATATAGTAAATCAATATCAAATATAAGGTAAAGATTCATATTAAAGAAGAAAATGAAATGTTTTAGTGTCTACATTTAATATTGATATTTTATCAAAAAAAAATATCAGTAACACAAACAACATAATGCGGATTAGTGAATGGGAATGCAGGTCCAATAATGATTGTACAGCAAAAAATAGTATGTGCAATAATAATCTGTGTCAGTGTGCCTCCGGATATATTTTTAACGCCGATATGACGGCCTGCATTAAAGGTAATATTTCCCTTATCGAGATTTTATTATTCTTTAAAACTTATCATAATTTTACGTGAACAAAGAGATTGTTATTGCCTTTCGCAGTTGCAACTAGATTGTATGATTCATGCGAGGAAACAGTACAGTGTTCAGCTTATCTTCTTAGCGGCGCTAAATGCGTCGAAAATGTTTGTGTGTGTGGTCCTGGTTTTTATTATTTACACGGTAGATGTAATCGATATGTTGGTAAGCGACTTTTTTCCATTCCATTTATTATGTTCTTTTTATATATAGTTAATGACGAAAGATACGTAATATTATTAATATATATAGGCTTATTCGGGAAATGCGAGCAAAATATCGACTGTTACGTAAATGCTGATTTCGAAGCGAGCACTTGCGATGCGGAGGAAAAAATTTGCAAATGTAGTCTTGGCTTTTATTTGCGCGAATATCGCACTTGTCGGCGAGAGGGAAAAGGTAAAATTATCACAATAACTGCGATAATATATTGTAAAATATATAAATATAATGCTATAATACACAATATTGAAATATTATATTGTATAAAATGTTATTTAATGTTGATTAGCCGTCGGCGATGAGTGTACAGTTGATATCGATTGTACTTTCGGTACTGCAACATGCAGCGATTTCATGTGCGCTATTGAATCCAAATTCGATACGGCGGTCGGACTTTCGTACGACGTTTCGATCGAAGGAACAGTGGATACAAGTTAGTATATAAATTATAAGTAAAAGATGCAATACAATGGTAATAATAATCTTCAACAAATTGATGAAACTGTAAATGCACAGTCGTATATATGTTTTATCAGATACTCGGGTGGGCGGTAATTGTATGACCGACGAGGACTGCAGAGTAGTGGAAAATGCCATATGCGGTCCTACTGGGACATGCACTTGCTACCGTGCACATTTTGAATCCAGCACAGGCATCGCGTGTATTCCAGGTAATATTAACGTCACAGGCACAATTTTGCGGGTGATGATACTCAGACACTTATGTCGACAGAACTCGGGGAGCCCTGTCAGAATAACGACGTCAGCTACATCCAGAAATCCATTTGTCGTGGAGGGAGATGGAGTTGTACAAATGGCACGGTTGCATCCAAAGATAATCGTCAGTGTCTTACTGGTAAGTGGCTTTAATTAAGAGCTAATTCGCACACAATTTCATTAAATTCTCGTTCTTACGTTATTGATACAATACAATGTGAAATGTGAAAGACTGTGTGCTTAAAGAATTGTGTGTATCATAAAATTATGAATACATTAAAATGATATCAATTTTTAATATATTTATTTTATTTAGCAACCAGAGAGTATAAGGGAAGTTGTCATCAGGATGAGCAGTGTTATATCTTTGGTCCAGATGCTGTGTGCAGTAATAATAAATGTGTATGCAATGAGAATATTTCCCATTATGTGGAAAACGAACTTTTTTGTTGGGGAAATACGGGAGTCGGCAAGACTTGTATACGTGATCAAGACTGTTTCGTTAAAGATTTCAAAGGCAATTTAATATGTAATGGTACATGCAACTGTCCTCATAATACACGGTTAAGCAAGGACAACATGGCTTGTATAGGACCAACAGGTTAATAGTCATCTCATAATTTTTTATTTTTTTATTACGTAGACAAAATAATTGTAATAAATTATAGAACTCGGAGGGTTTTGCGAAATAAATGAGGATTGCGTAATACCATATTCTGTTTGTAATGAAAAAGTATGCTCGTGTGACGAGAATTATTATGAAGCAAATAAACTTTGTTTGCCAGGTAATATTTTATTAACTATTATAAAACTATCAATTTTATCAAAGAAAAATATTTTATACATTTCATATTTATATCTTTTTAAAAGAATTAATTAAATTTCTAATAATAATAAATTGATGTAATGCATATAAAATTTAATTATTAAACATATAAAAAAGCTAACGCACATTATATAATGATTAAATTTTAGGTATCAATTCTACCTGCAATAATAATGAAGATTGCACACCGGAACACTCTATTTGTAACTCTAACAATTGTTCTTGTGAAGCGAATTATGTGGCTGTAGCTATAGATTTATGTGTGCCAGGTGAGCATTTATATTTCTTTATTTTTATCAACGAAATATTATTAAAATTTTCATATTTACATTATTATTTCTTTTTTTCAAATATAAAAATTTTAATGATAATTTTATAAATATTTCTACACATATTTTTAGTATCATTGTACGGCGAGCCTTGTTCAATAGATGTTCAATGTTCCGCTATTACACCTGGTGCAATTTGTGCACTTAAGAACGAAAGCAATGTAATGGAATCGTCGAAAGAAGAAGACAAAATTTGTACTTGTAACAAAGAAGATTATTATACATTAGGAAAATGTTTTAAGAAAAAGTGTAAGGCGGAATGGTTTTATTATCGAGTGCTGAGTTAATTTTTTAATTTATTAAGACATTTATATTCTTGCAGTTCTCGGTGAAATTTGCAGGAGTATAGGTGAATGTTATGGAAGTTCCACTTGGAAAGAAATAGTTTGCAGGAACGAGAAATGCACATGTGATTGGGGTTACAAGATATCGAATAATCGTACCTGTATAAGACATCCGCAAGCTGCAAAATTTTTTTTGAAAGGTAAGTAATCTTGACTCACATCGGTTAATAGAAAACTTTTTGCCGCATTTTATTTTCGCCTACAAGAAAACACATAGATTAACGAGAACTTTTCTCTAATGCGCATAAAATCTTTTTATATGGCTGAATAATGTGCTCGCAATTACAAGTCGCGCATTTGCATGCCAATTCGAGAGTTGTATTGTAATTTTTGCGATTACAAGCATCGATAAGATGTGGCTACAATGACATAGCCCATCTCGAACAAATCTCGTCTCCTTCTCATAAAAAACATGAGAAACAGTCAAACATTGTTATTTCTCGAACATTCTCGGAAATAAATGTACTGCCATGAATTCCATTACCGCGTAACAATCGATAAGAATAAAAACAGCTTTTGCCTTTCGAACAATGTTTGAACATAAAAGCTACTTCTATTGATTTTTTTTTTTACCTTCCACTATTTTATCACTATTCAGGTCAAACAAAAAAGAAAGAGAATAACAAATTGATTAAATTGTACTTCTTTCCAGGCGGTGCCAGCAACATGGTGTCTACGGAATTATTTTTAATCATATCCTTATATTTTCTAGTAAATTATTTTAGATTTGTATGAAAAAAACAATGATCTTTTACAATAATAACAAAAATATATAAAAATTCTATAACAATCTAGAATAAATCTATCGTTGTTGTTACAAATAACTTTTTGATAGAAAACACATACACATCAAGAATTTCCGATAGACCATCTCTTAATGACGAAATTAATGCATATAAATATACAGAAAAATTAAAATTAACGTGTATATTTAAAAAAATTTTTTTAAATAAAAAAGAAAACATAATAAATGTTATTTTGTACGTACTATTCCAATCTATTAATCTGGGTCGCAGGCGTCGTGGCTAAATAGCTAAGTCCATTATCAAGCAAAGTTATGCTATAACATAATTAGACCATTTAAGTACAATATGGGCTGACGAAAAATGAGGCTGTATGTAGGCAGCGTGTGATTTGAATACCGTCATTTCCGACCGTAGAGATTGATTAAAGAAAAACTGCGTACTTAAGCTTCCGGCGAGCGTGATAAGGAGACCAAATAGCCGACACGCGAGCCGCGTCGGTCGTACTCATTATGACCATTTCTACTGAGCGAGCAATTTTCGCTTAGGATAAGCTTTCGATGACGTCGTCGACGTAGGCATAGTGACGTCATAAAGATAGGGAGCAGAGAGGTCAAGGCATACTACTCAAGTATAATCCTTTGTGCAACCAACTTAAAGAACTTAGAACTTTTATCAAATTAATAACATAGATTTAGAACTTTTACCAAATTAATAACATAGATTTTTTTCATAAAGAGACATAAACAAGTTATTAGCAAAATTAAGTATATAAATTTTTGTGTTAACTTTTTATTAAAAATTGTTAAACGATTTTAATTTAACATATTACTAAACATATTTAACATATAAATTTTAGAATAGACATATTACATTAAGTTGTAAAGATCTTTTACTTCTGCTATATTTTGAATTTTCCATCACTCTTTTAAGATATAAAAAACACAAATAAATTTTTTTTTTCAAAAAATTTCTAATCAAATAATACATTAGAATAACGATAATAATTTTTTTTTTAAATATAGGAGATATATAAGAATAAAATAAAATAATGTGTAATATGTGTGATATTATTATTTTATAATGACCTAATGTTGTTAAGAGTATAATATATTTCTACAAATTTTATCAAAGAACACTAAAAATCAAAAAGACATTTAAAACATTTCATCGTTTGCAAGTTTAAGAATTTTATATATCCGTTCTATATTATTTAGATCACTTTCGCTGCGTGCAAACTCGTTTATTCTAAATAGAATATAAAATTTCAGATTTATTCATTTTATTTATTCTAACCTCGATATATGTTAAGATTGCCATCAAATAGGGATCTATGTAATTCATCCAAGCATTAATCTTAATTTATAGATCCATCTATCTGTATCATCAAGTAAATACTAAATCATTGGTCACAATGTGGCCATATTGTTCAAGATCTTGAAGCTTTTGTTCCTTACAACTTGTACCGTAACTAATTCAATGCCTGTTCAATTCTGTACGTGATTATGGAACATTATCATTTCACTGCATTTCAATGCAGGACTCATTACATTGATGACATCAAAATATTAACGTTCTATTATCAGAAATCTCAAGATTAACGATTGCCAACAAAAACGAAGTTTTCACCACGGATTGCTAATGAGCATAGTACTTTAGTCGCCGACGGAAATTAGTTAAAGGAAATTGTGCTATACAAGATGTTCTAGATTCTTGCACTTTCCGAATTTTTTGTAACGTTCTTCTCTTCTTCTCAATTCACAGATTCTGTGATCGACAATACCAGAAACTATTGGCACAGCAAAATATGGAAAAATTTCGTACTGCGTGTATAGCTGACATTAGATTTTGAATAACAACAACCTCGTTTTACGAACAACCTCGTGATCTTTCGAGCCTCTTTTTTGCGCAATCTCCATTTATATGACCTAAGCAAAATTAACACTATGTAACGCAGATACAAAATCAGATTAAGAAAAATTATTTCTAACGATCACAGGAATAAGCTACTGATTTTATCGTAATATTTGATTAACGATTAATTGTTTAGATGGATTATTATCGTTTCTTAATTTAATTACAACGCCGGTAATGATAATTTACTTTTCTTAGGTAATTATCAAATATATTGAAGAGACAGAAAGGTTACTTTTTTACAAATTATCGTGTTTATTTTAATTTTATAATTTTTTCTTATAATGTATTAATACTATTAACTAAGCAAAAATATCGCACACGAAATTGGATAGCGGAACATGGATTTCAAATGGTATTGAACAGCTGTCAAGCTATTCCAAACAATAGCACAAAGATATTCACACGCTAGAAACAGGGAAATTTAATTAGTTATGTAATTGAGATACCGAGATAACGTCAACTATAATAGCATGGTGCAAAGATGAAGATAATGGGAATCAAAATCAATGTAAAGCCACAGAAAATGTTTACATAATTTTAAATTTCTTTATATTATAGATTAATTAGATATGCAATCTAATTTTATATATTATATATTATATATTAAATGCAAAATTATTATATTCAAAGATTTAACATCTTAAATTAATTTTAAAAGATGCTAGTAAATTTATATTAGTATTTAATATTAGTATAAAAATGTAAAAGAAAACATATTCCAAGAAATGTTTGTATCATCAATTCTTATATTTATCATATTTTCAATTAAACAAAGTTTCTTTAATTATCTGCTTTAATATGCTATTTCTTAATTAGATGAAATGAAAAATTAGTTGGTTGGTTGTAGCATTAAAAATGTCTTCAGAAGTGAATATACAATCGTCGATATAAACACGAAAGTTCAAAGATATAAACCTCGACTTCGTACTCGGCTCTTATCATATAGATGTATCTATCGCAAGAAATTGAACCGCTTATAAATCTTCAAATAAGGTGATTTGATATCGGATACGGTATACAAATGCTACTCTCTATCAGCCAAAACGTTCCTTCGTTTATCCGTTATTCACGCGGTAGGCTAACGAAGGGATACGAAAGGTCACACGCCAGCCAGATGGACAGCCGATAGAGGCTCGACCTGGCTTCTTTCTTCATAAAATGGGTCGTAGAATTTGCAGGCGGAAGTGACGCTATTACGAAGATCAGACATGGAATTTGAAGCTTCAGCTCACGCGGTTAACATTAAAGCTTCAATTTTCTTAGATATTTTTAGATAGCTTTACAATCGAAAATTATATTTATAACTTATTTATTATATTGTAGATAATAATAAAGTGAAGAATATTTTTTCATACTTTTTAAAAATTTAAATAGAAAGATGAATTTCGAGATTATTAATTTGTATTGTTAATTATTTCTCGCGATTGTTGATTGAATATTTTGTGATATATTACTTCACAATTATCATTAGGTAATTATATATTTAGATATCATTTAAAACAATTACAAAAATAATTTTGTTTATTAAAAATAAATTTATTTCTATAAAATATTGTTTTTAAAGATTAATATGTATATATCAGACTTAATAAAAACTTAACGGAGATTATTCTTATATATCAATATATATAATCTATTTCAATTACAATTAATCAGAAATTTATTACAGTAGTAAAATTCATAGTTATTATGGTTATAATAATAAATGGTTATAATAATCTTTCGCTCGCGATTTCTATGGAAAACAATTAAAAGGCGTAACCAAGTATTACAATATCTATGATATCTACAACCATGTTGATATCATCTATAAGTTACGAAGAAATCGTAGTACAAAGTTGACCTAGAGGTCACGATTCGGTTTAAGTTCGCGTTTTTATGCTGCAAAATGTTCTCGCTCGTGCATAAGCGTCGCGGGAAGTAATGCTGCAACAACAAAGAAAATTACGAAGGGACAAAGATCTGATACTGGCCATCGCACCATGTAATTCTTCATGTAATTTCAAGCTGGCTTGTACAGGCTTACATCGATTTAGGACGCCGTAGAAAGTTCGTGCTTGATATCGCTTCGCACACCCGTGACGAAAATCGTCGTCGAGAAAGACGTCAACGTTAAGGAATTTAAAGGGCTAGTTCGCGAGCAACGTGAGTACAAATTGCGACCGCCATGCTGTGAGCGCTTGGGGGTGAGCATAAATCCTCGACGGTTCCGCGCTCACCCGCACCTGAAAGAAGTAACGCGGAACGTCGTGGATCGTGTCGCAGCGATTTTCTTGCGACCCGCGTACATATTGGATCGCGTGTCCGACATTACCCGCCCTTATGTGTCATGCGTTATATGGTGCTAACGGAGGCCAAGGTCGCGCAGCCAACCAGACGCGAGACTACGCAACGATCCATCAAGTAAGGAAATCCGTTTCGATCAAACTTCCCAGTTACATCGGAAGACACTTATGGGAAAAGACGACACTTATGGGGAAAGACGTTGTATAATAACTAAAAAAAAATTATATTATTCTTGTTGACAAAATTATTCTATATGCGATGATTAATGTTATATGTAAAATAGAACACGGAATATTTTTTTTCAATGCTTTTTACATAACTGATATCATTAGGAATATAATTAGTCCAATATTTTTATTACATTATGATTATAATCTTTGTTATCAAACTACGTAATTAAAGATTTAATTTATGAAATTTAATTTCGTACAAACACGCTAAAATTAGCTGAAATAAGATTTATAAAAAGAAATTTTTAAGAAATTTTTTCGTGCATTCGTACAGATTAATATGGACAATTTTATAACTTAAATAGTCTTACAAATATGTTGATATCACATAACATTACACATGACAGAATGTGAGAGGAACGGTTACGTTTAAGTGTTCGTTAAACTTGCGCACTTTTCTTATCAGATTCCAGCAGAATTGCCGCAAAATGTAACGCCCGATCGTATCTGCGAAATAAATGTTTTTTAACGCGCATGCCCGACAGCATCCCATATATACCTATAGTTACTTCATTTTTACGTTTCATGAAATGGCGTTTGCTACCAGCAATTGCTATTTAAATGAATTTCATATGCCGGCCACGCAGCGTGGCTCGACGTTCTTGTGAATTTATTAGCATCTATTTATGGCGAAAAAATTTATACATAACAAAAGACACGAGGGTGAAGTGAGGCGTTGCGCGTCATTCCCGCTTATGGTCGAGTTATCTTCGACACGATGACCCCGTTATAGACAGCTGATTAAATATTATTTTTCATCAGCTTCAAAGTCAACGATTATAAATATGAATATAACATCCAACTTTTAAAACATTCGAATAATATCAATGTGACAAAATATATATATATATATATATATATATATAGCCCTTCATGACTATCATATTTTTCACGAAAGCTGACATAATTATATGCGCATTCATTATTGCAATGCAATTTAAAATCACGTAAGTTTACCGTATGCAGTATATACTATCATATGTTATTTCCTGAAAATGCAGAAAAGAAAGTCCGTATTGCCATCTACCAAGTGAATTGCAAACTTACTGTTTCATTCGTACAAATATATTTTCTAAAGTATCAAAATTCGTACAAATTATTTAATATATTTTATTAAATATTATCGTAAGTATTACAGTAAGATAACAGATAAAATGTATTTATTTTTACTGGTAAAATTATTTTTATTACATGTTCAATATAATAATTCTGTAAAATATAAAATTCTTATTAATGTAAAACTATAAATAATCTTTGTTAGCCTGTCAAATTTAATTATATATTTAAAAAAAAGCTTACTTCGTATTATATAATAAATTTTATCTGTTTATGTGTTCTGTGATTGTAATTTCATTACGTGCAACACACCTAAAATAGTAACATCTCTCTGTACATATCTTGCATATGCAAACTACATGTTTGTGTGTACAGAAATTCTTGCACTTTATGTACTTATTTTACTTGACAACATGCAATATAAAGAGAATTTAATTTGAATGTCAGCCAGAAATTTTCTATTACGTGCTCGAATATATGCTCATCTTTTGAAATCAAAGCATTACCATTCGCTGATATCTTGATTTATTCAGAAATTTGTAGAAAGTAAGACAAACTGTTCTATGAAAGTTTGTCTCGTCGGAGAATGAATTTTTCTTCTTTTCCTATCTTCTTTCACATTTTATCATCAAATTTATTTATTTGATACACTTGTATTTTCTAAATCTTCATAACTTTTATAATTTAAAAAATATTAAAACACAAAAAGATACATATAAAATTGAAACTTTTACATTTTAATAATTAAATTATCCTGAATTTTTTAATTTTAGGATTTGAATATTAATAAAAGCAAAAAATAAAAATATACTACATTCGCATTTATTCTAATAATACATAATATGTACATAATATAATAATAATTTTTATAATTTCGTTTAGTTTTCTAGTACAAAATTTCTAAACGCTTTAAATATTTGAAAAATATAAAAAATCAGCACGGCATAACATATATATATAAATAAAGCACATGTTGAGTTGTATAAATTATTTAATTCTTGTGTAAAGTAATTACATTATATTTATTATAATATTTATTGCAAAAGAACATTCGAAGTTATACGTTCATCATATTATTACAATGTAGCCTCGTGTATGTTTACGAGTTACAACGTAAATGCTTTAACGTAAGCAACAGGGTGCATTTTGTACCGTCTACCGTATTAACCAAGGGTAGCTCCAGCCAAAGGGCGAATCAGTACCGAAGGGCGCTATCCGTCTGAGGGGTTGATGCGTAAAGGAGAAATATACGGCTTACCAGCTAGCGACGCCAGTATCGATCAGTCGCACACGCATGTAATTCAGCGTCTGGATATTCGACGAGGATTCCCCCATGATTACCTATCCAGTCTATATTTTCGTTTAGAAAAGGATGTAATGTCAAATATATAATCGATAGAAAACGTTTTCATATACAAACAGCATATATGCTATTATGCATTTTTTTTAAGATATAAAATACTCTAACATATATTTATAAAACAGATAAAGCAAATAAAAAAATATGCAATTACAATTAACAATATTTTTCTAATAATGTAATACATTAAAGTTTTTATTATTAAATAATATTGTAACTAATATTTATGAATGCACAAAAGATTATTATGAAATTTTTCTTAAATTATCTTATTATGAAATTTATTATGAATTTATTATGAAAATTTCCTTTATTATGAAATAAATTGTATGTGAAGCGTACATTTATTCAGAAATAAACAGGAAATGTGGTATATCCGTTATCAAGCCAATTTATTTATTAAAAAAGAGATAAAATAAAATAAATCAAATTTAATTTAGTAAACTTCTTCTTGAAAGCTTATCTTATCAGAAAGTACGAAAATAATTCAGGAGAACATATATTGAGCATGGACAGCTTAGAAGAAATTTAATATAATTTATATAAATATATTTTATTATAATATATTTTATTACTTTGAGTTACCAGAATCTATAAAATATTTATCTATTCTTGTATACAAAAAAATGTAACAAATTTATGACATGCGCATATATTTGCCGAGAATACGTCATTGCTATTTTTTAAAAAAGCAGGATTGACTTTTAGTCCGTTATTAAGACAAACATGTACTATCTACTGAAACGTTAATTTGACGTGCAAAATATGTCCTTCGTATTCCAGTCAGAGATAATTTTATTGGTAAACGGCCGTCTATCACTTATGACATTTTGACATGGATGTCGAAAGAGCACACGCAAATGATAGTCTGCGTTTGCTATTATTCGATTTCAGAAAATAAAAACGTGTCGTAAACTATTGGGAATTGTAAAACTGGACAAACGGGGGGAGACGAGAGCAGCGTATAAGTTACAATAGAAAAAAGAAAAATCTCCGAGCCATTGAGCTGCAATCTGCATGGATTATTGAGTTCAAAAAGGCTTAATG